ATATTCATTATTCCACTATATCTAGATTTAAAAAAAAATATTTTGAAATAAACAAATTAGAAAATAAACCTATTTTTGGTCATCTGCCTAAACTTACTCTATGTGAAGAACATATTATTATTCGAAAAATCCTAAAAGAAGAATGCAAAACAGCCATGGATATATATAGATCTTTGAAAAAATATGAAAAAATAAATATTAGTGTCAATACAATTTGAAGAATTCTTAAGAAAAATAGATTTAAAGCTTATATACAGCACAAAAAACCTTTTTTAAATAAAATATATAAAAAAATCCAATTAGAATTTGCAAAATTACATAGAAATTGGACTATAGAAGATTGAAATATAGTGGTCTGGTTTGATGAAACTAAATTTCAACCTTTTGGAGCTGAAGAACACAAATATTCTGGAGAAAATCTACAGAACCTTTAAAGGATCAACATATAATTCCTACAATTAAATTTAATAAAGATAGTATTAATATTTGGAGATGCTTTACTTATTACGGAATAGAACATTTATCTAGAATTGAAGGAAATCTTAATGCAGAACTTTATAGACAAATTTTGAAATAAGAATTAATGTATTCATTAAGATATTTTTAATTTAACTCCCAAAGATATTATATTTCAACATGATAATGATTCTAAACATAAGACTAAAATAGTTCAAAGATGGTTAAAAAATAATAAAATTAAAATTATTTCTTGGCCATCAAAATCTTCAGATTTAAATTCAATAGAAAATATCTAGAATAATGTGAAAAGAAGAGTTAATGATTTAGAGATTAATATTAATGATAAAGAAACTCTCTGGAATAATTTATTGAATATTTGAAATAAAATATCTGAAAAAACTTGTAAGAAATATATAGAAACAATGCCTAAAAGAATTAATGATATTATTAAGGCAAAAGGTGGTTACACAAGATAGTAATAGAAATCAAATATATTTTTATAATTATATGTATGTATTTTTATAAATAAATAAATTTCAAAAATACTGCAATAGTAAATTTTTTAAAATTTATCCTAAAAATGTTTTTTATTAATTTAATATCTATTTTAATTTATACATTATTTAAGCATACTTATATTCTATCTATAGTATAAATTTCATATTAATCTGATTTATCCTACTTAAAATTTTAGCATTTAAAGATCGCCGATCAGATGTTGCATTCTTTTTGGGAGACGGTGTAAATCTGGACAGCATTTCGATATAGGTTCAATTATAAGGCTGGGCGAAGCATCGACCTTTGGATGGATAAACACCATCTGGCATTTCAATCCGCGGAACGTGATACGACCATACCATATGCTGTACTAGGACGGACGACATATACACCAGGGAACGTAGTACAAAGCTCTGGACGACACGGTAACACGAGGTTACCATCAGGCCGCCGGAACGCCGCCATATGCTCCGTATACTGCCGGAAGGACGACACTAGCTTAGGACACCACTGAAATACGCCAATGTCGACGTAACACAGAGTTGATGCCGCATCGCCGGGATGCGATACCACGACATAGGATGATGACACACGATGCCGTACAACACGAAGTAATGACGCCGCAACACGGTACGCCACCGTAGATTGAACGCCACAACGTGATACACTACCGTATAACGTGCCCAAAACAAGACATCGCCGTACATGACGCCACAGTATGATATGCCGCCGCACAGCACCGTACAACAGTCCGTATCGACGCCACAGTAAAAGACGCTGCCGTTTTCATTATATTACCAGCCGCCGCAACGTTAGCCACCAGCCACAGCATTTCACCGCCATTGTTAATGCATAAAACGCCACCATGATCGCCGCCGCCACCAACCATAGTGCGCCGCAACGATTTCTGCCGCCGCCACCAGCCACAGTGCGCCGCCGAAGCTTTTGCCGCATAATATGCTATTACAACCGCCGCCATATGCCACATGGAAACGCCACTTACGTAGATTGTGCCGCAACGTTACACGAAGCATATAACGTTATGATACTATTAAAACGCAAAGCAAAACGCCGCCAAGACCAAAGGAAAGCTGCGAAACGTAACACGGACGACGCCACAGTAAGCTACAAGCCTCCGAAGCCAACGTCACTAGCCATATTATATGACGCCAAACTAGTCACACTCTTTTTATAAGCCGCATCTCTGCCTAATTATGTCAAAAATGGCCAAAAATTTTTTTTGAGGTCATTAAGGACAATAACTTCTTAAGAAGGAGAGAATATAACAATACTATTGGCGAAGTGAGTAACACAAGGTGTGTTACACAAGTGGCACAAACAAGTCAATGGAAGGAACAACACTCTAGAAATACAATGGCCTAATTTATGTCTCTTTAGGACATATGAAACTTAAAATATCTTGAGTTAATGATTCTCTATTATACTTAGAACATGTGACATATACGGATGATATTTAGTATATGGCACATGACATGTGACACCCAATCCCAAAAGGTATTTGATATTATAATAATATGAGTTTACAAATATCAATAATTCTATTTTGTTTCACTTTTAGTTTCTCTAATTATTAGTAAGGGATTTTAAAGGTATTAGAATAATTAGGATAAAACACTAATTTATTATTTCATTGTTTCACTTTATATTACATGTATATGATCTTCAGAGGACCAATAAGATTATATGTACTATTTTAGACTTGTATTTCTACTTTAATTATTTATATTAGGAAAACATGTATATAAGGAAACACTTTTTCCTTTGGGAAATAACAGAGTTGTCTGATTTTTCTCACATTTAATAAAGTTTTTCTTTATTAATTATAAACAATGACTTGTTTATGACTTCTTTAACATGAAATATTACATGTTATAATATGAAATGTTACATTTTATTATTATATAATTTTTTTATATAATTTTTTTATTTGTTTTAATCTTTACTTATTATCTATTTTCCAGTAATAGTCCTGGATTATTCTTAATATTTTTATAGGTCTTCAAGTTTTTTTAAATTTTCTTTTAAAATATTATTAACAATTATTTATAATACTTCAATGATTTTTAAAACTCAAAGATCTCTTCTTTTGGTCAAACTTTTTTGAGAATACAGACTATTATATTTTGTGTCTCTATTCTTAAACAGTTATAAAAATTTTCAAGTATTCAGAAGTTTTTCAAAATTATTTCCAGGTTAAAATTTTAATGAAAGTTGCATTTGTATTTATTGTATTCAAATATTTTTTACCAAAAACTGAAAACATGACATCATGAACTTTTAAAGTTATAGTCTTATAAAATAATTGATATTGTTTTATAAGTTTTCAAAGTAATAAATTGTTAAATAACTAAAGAATTAAAGTTATTATTAATATTTATAATAATTATTATTTTGTAAAACTTTTGTAAAACTCTAAATATTCTTGTTAAAAAAATTTCTTGATTGTTATTATTTTTAGATATTTTTGACTATACATTATTTAAATAAATATAAATTTTAAAAATCTTAAAAAGATTTAAAATAAATCTTATCTTAATTAAATCATATTTGATAATTAAGTATAGACTCACATAAATTTAATTTTTTAGTTGGATAATCTTATTCTCTATAATTTTTTGTTATTTAATAATTGATTGATTTTTTTATAAAGGTTTTTATGAAATTTCAATGCTTCTATTAAGAAATAAATATATAAGTTAATATTTATTTTAAATTCTAACAAATTTTTAAATATACTTGAAGTTTCTTTAAATATTTTTCTGTAACAAATTCTGCCTATGTTATTGGTAAATACTTATTAAATATCTTTTATAGTCTTTTTACTACTTAATAGCAT